TCTTAGGTTTTATTGCTTATTTTGTTTCTTATGGCTTAGGTAAGTCACAGCCTCTGACACCTATTCCCACAACTGAAAAACGAGGGTCTGAACCATATCATCCCAGACAGTAGCACCTGTTTATTATCTTTTTGTTCACAAAATATTTTATTTATTTCCTCAATTATGTATTATATGTAAGATAATCCTGCTCATCTTACTGACAAGAAAACACTTAGATGTTAGAGAAAATGCAAAGGAAGTGAAACCTTCATACATTGGGAATGTAAAATGATTCAGTTACTATGAAAAACAGTTTGGCAGTTCCTCAAAAAGTTAAACATAGGGTTACTATATAACCCAGTAATTCTGCTCCTATGTGTACACCCAAAAGAACTGAAAAACTGGTATTCAAACAAATACATGTACATACATGTTCATAGCAGCAATACTGACAATAACCTAAAGATGAAAACAACTCAAATGTCCACTGAGTGATAAATGGATAAACTGTTATACACAATGAAGTATTATCCAATCATAAAAAGGAATACAGTTCTGACACATTCTACAACGTAAATGAAACTCAAAAACATTATGTTAAGTGAAAGAAACCAGAGACAAAAGGTCACACATTGTATGATTCCATTTATATGAAATGTCCAGAATAGGCAGATCCATTGAGACAAAATGCAGACTGGTGGTTGTCAGAGGAGGAGGGGTGGGGGAGCTGAAGCAAAACTGCTTAATAGGTATGGGTTTCCTTTAGGGGTGATAAAAACTTTTTGAAACTAGAGGTAGGAGTTGCTCAACATTGTGAATGTACCAATAGTCACTGAATTGTTTGCTTTTAAATGGCTAATTTTATATTACGCAAATTTAGTCTCCAAAGAAAGTATACGCTTAAGAGAAGCACAAATGACCACCCAGTTCTAAGGTTCCACAAAACTGAAATACCAGGTGTGAAAGAAATCTGTAAAGCGTAGCCAAGGCCGGGTGCAGTGGCTCACACTTGTAATCCCGGCACTTTGGGAGGCCGAGGTGGGTGGATCACTTGAGGTCAAGAGTTTGAGATCAGCCTGGCCAAAATGGTGAAACCCCAACTCTACTAAAAATACAAAAATTAGCTGGCCGAGATGATGTACACCTGTAATCCAGCTACTCAGGAGGCTGAGGCAGGGGAATTGCTTGGAAGCAGAGGTTGCAGTGAGCTGAGTTTGTACCACTGCACTACAGTCTAGGCAACAGAGCAAGACTCCGTCTCAAAAAACAAAACAAATGAAAAAAAAAGTGTAGCCAATTTTCACTTATCTCTGATCATAGAAGATGGCAGAGCCACAGGTAATCCCAAATGGCATACGTTAAGATAATCACTTTTTACAAAATCAATATGTATTCTATTATATGCAAATAAATAAATAGCAAGTATTGAAATGTTTCCTATAATTTAACAGTAAAAATCTCATTCATACTCTTTGAACCTATTTTTAAACAGTAAAGTTCATTTTGTAAAACTTCACTTGGAGGCTCAATTTTGCACACTTTGGATATAAACCAAACTAAATCAACACTAGTGATCAACACGGAAATACCCACACAAGGGGTCAAGAGATACAGAAAAAAGAGCCAAGGCCAAAAGCTGTTGGGTTAAAATAAAAGGACTGTCTTCCTCACCTTTGCAAGGCCAGAGAGGAGCTCTAGAGCTGCCAGTGATATGCTCATGTCTTGGCGCCACTGGGAGTTGAGTCTTTGAGTGACGAGATGAATGCTGCGAATCAGGAGCCCAGCAGCTGAATCTGTATTAAGAGCTAGGATATAACCCCAATGCCACGTCCCACAGGGAGGGAAAACAACTAAGCATTAGTAACGAGAAGCACAGCATCCACTAGGCACAGACCATAGCAGCCACAGTGAGAATGACGGGCACCCACACAGTGCTACGCTCCCCACCCCACTGGCCTGAGTGCCAAGTCCGACTGAACGGTGCACAGGCACACGTGCTGGACCAGAGCAGCTTCTAGCTCCTGGTTCACGCACTTTCACACAACTGTGGGATTTGGCAGTTTCAGTATCATTTTTATAACAATGTAAATCTTAAAGTTTATAAATTATCAACTCAGAGAGAGCTACATTTTCAAAAAGTGATGAAAAGGCTATCAATTATTTCCTTAAAACTGATATAGAGGAAAGAATTGAAATTTTACAGCCTCCTCAGATGCTGGGAATTACTCTAAAGCAAGCATCTGTTGAAATTACTTACAGAGTTTAAACCATCAAAACTCACATGCAATGCCTTTTCAAACACACTTTAACATTTAATTCTCCAAGATTACTTTAATATTTCTAAAAAAAAACTAAATAACCAAGCCACTGTATTTTTATTTGGGCTCCAATCTATATTTAAAAGTAATTACTAGTTAGCTAATAGAAAATTAGAAAAAATTAAATAAGGACAAACTGAATTTACAAAAAAAAAAGGCTTTAGGGACATTATACCTGTCGATCCTATCAGAAAGAGGGCAGTGACAACAGAAAAAGGAATGATCATTAAAGAGAGACACTCATGCGACACTAACACAAATCAGGATTTCTTAGTAAAAAATATTTTACGACATTACAAGCAGAGCTCACTAACACCAGTTCAAAATGCTGAAACAAACAATCACTTAAAACATTTATATTAGAACACATGCAGTAATGAAAAACTTCTTTTTTTTTTTTTGAGATGGAGTCTCGCTCTGCTGCCCAGGCTGGCGTACAGTGGTGCAATCTTGGCTCACTGCAACCTCTGCCTCCCAGATTCAAGTGATTCTCCTGCTTCAGCCTCCCAAGTAGCTGGGATTACAGGCGCCCGCCGTCACCCCCAGCTAATTTTGGTATTTTTAGCAGAGATGGGGTTTCACCATATTGGCCAGGCTGGTCTCAAACCCCTGACCGCAGGTGATCTGCCCACCTTGGCCTCCCAAAGTGCTGGGATTACAGGTATGAGCCACTGTGCGCAGCCAGTAATGACAAATTTATTTAGCTTAAACATGTTTCAGAAAGCATGAACAATAAATTTTCAATCTATAGAATACCTAAATCTACATACACAGTGAATAAGATAATTTAAATAACTTCTTTACAAATATATTTAAAGGTGTTATTCAAATATCCACATAATGGCTTTATGTATCTGACATGTTCAAGGATACATGTTGCAAACTTAAATCATAGAAACATGCCTCATGAATTCATGAACATGGGTCATGAACTCTCTAGATGATTAAAAAATTAAGCTCACATCTAAGAATCTAGATATCACTCCAATCTAGTTGGATAAATGCTCAACAGATTCAATACACTGTTAATATTTGTGTAGAAAAACATAAAAGGTACTCCACAAACTCACAGAACCGATAAAACAACTGCCCAAGGTAGGGGAAAACCCTGTATAGGATGCTTGGCTGGCAAATGTTTTAGTTGGCAGGGCAGAAAATAAAAATGTTTCAGGACTAAAGAACCTAGTGAGTAGGGTACACAGGTTTTAACATGAAGAGATGCTCTCCTCTGGGTTGCTATCTAATGCATCCCCCATCACCCTCCTTGCCACACTGTAATAATTGGCTTATTGGACATCTCTGCCACTATACTGTGAGCTCTCAGGCAGAGCCCACATCCTATTTGGTTCTCTACCACCACACATAGTAGAGAATGCAGAAATGTTTCCGGATCACCCACTACTATCAATTATAAAATCTAATATACTACCCCAAATCTAATATACTACACAAAAGCTATACAGCTAAATTAAAAAGATTTGTTTTCTTTCTCTTAGCTTCTTAGACTGACATCCTCTCTATCACACTTAAGTACATAAAAAAATCATGAACATTAAAATTTTAATGTTTTTGTTTTATAAATGTGAGCATTAAAATCATTCTATTAAACTTTGAATTTCAAAAGAAACATGACTTACCATAATCTCTTAAGAGAGCTTGAGCGGGTCTCTCACTATCGGGAGTTGTGGGCTCCGTGCTTCCGCCACTTGCTGAACTAATACCACTATTAGTGCGACTATGACTCTTCAGGTTATTTTCTCCACCACCCTAGTTAAATGGAATGAATCAAGTGTTTGAGGGTTACATCACAGTTTACAAGTATAAATAAAAGTCAATCATTAAAAACCTTGTTGATAAAACAGAATGTGCCAACTGAATAGCACAAACTGATATTAACAGATAAAAACTGACAAAGGATTAAAACCACTGTGGTATTTTTACATAGACACATCTGCTGGAGGGTACGAAGGGTTTGACTACTACAGGTGTCCATACTGGGGGTCTTCTTTGCCACTATTTACAAAGGGCCAGCCCAGCTTTTTCAACTTCACTAGACTTCACCAGCTACTGATTCTGGGTCCTTAAGGAAAATACCCTAGTGCCTCCTAAGCAAAGCTTCAGAACAGAAATATAAGCTTAAAAAACATGAATAAACAAACAACAACAACTTTCAAATATGGTTATATCAGAAAACACAAACAATAAAATACTAGGGTTAGTATGAAGATATGTAGAGGTGCTAATAAACCTATCTATTAGACTTCCCTAATTTTTTCCCCATATAAACACAATTCATTATATTCAGATGAGTAAATTATTATTAACCACCTAGAGAGACATGAGTGTAATTTTCTTAATAATAATTTGATCACTCATCCTACATCTACCCAGCTTATCCTAGTATACCCTATTAACCCCCCATTCTCCTGCCTCTACTCCAAGTATAGGTGTATCACATATCTTGAAGACAAAGCAGAGAGCACTCGAAGTCTCTGAGAAGCATTTTTTATTTAGAAGCATTGGTGCTTTGCGGGACCTTCAAACTTAGGTTTAGAGGGGTTAGAAAGAAAAAGTTAAACTAGATGCTTGCTGGCTAGAGCTTTTCCTAGGTTATTCAACCAAGTTCGTCACCACAGCAAAACAAGTAAGAGTTTTAAGTAGATACTGTTCAGGAATAAAGACTGGATTTAACTGAAGTTTCTCTCATACAGAATCTCTTGAGGACCTAATGTACAGCTTTTACGAGGCACTGAAAAGTAATCCTCAAAATATACGTTATTTTTAAACAGAATCCTTCTGAGCCAATGACCAGGATTTATAAACCAAAGGCCTTTAAAATTCACAAAGATGGACATTTTGGTATATAATTTACATAAAATCCAAAAGTGATATTCTCTGACAGATTATGTCTTACTTACCATCTCCATCTGGCAACCGATGGCTTCTAAAAGTGCTGAATCTTGAACAATATTTAACATTGCCCCTGCAACAACAAAAAAACAGTATTTTATATAAAATATACAAGAATATTAAAATTGCTAAGACATTTTATATGATTAATAGTGAGATAAGAATATCATTTTGGTTGAACATTCCTGAAATACCTAGGAAATTACAGTTGGCCCTTGAACAACATGAGCTTGAACTGTACATACGCAGATTTTTTTCAATAAGTATGTTAGAAAATTTTTTGAAGATCTGTGACAATTTGAAAAAACTCCCAAACTGTATAGCACAAAAATATCCAAAAAATGGTTCGGTGCAGTGGCTCACACCTGTAATCCCAGCACTTTGGGAGGTTGAGGTGGGCAGATCACGTGAGGTCAAGAGTTCGAGACTAGCCTGGCCAACATGGTGAAATCCCATCTCCACTAAAAATATAAAAATTAGCCAGGTGTGGTGGCATGCGCCTGTAATCCCAGTTATTCAGGAGGCTGAGGCACAAGAATTGCTTGAACCTGGAAGGTGGAGGTTGTAGTCAGCCAAGATCGTACCCCAGCACTCCAGCCTGGGCAACAAAGGAAGACTGCACCTCAAAAAAAAAAAAAAAAAAGAAAGAAATATTAAAAAAATTATAAAAAGTTAAAATTGGCTGGGCAGGGTAGCTCATGCCTGTAATTCTAGCACTTTGGGAGGCCAAGGCAGGAGGATCACTTGAAGCCCTAGACCAAAGTAGGCAACAAAGCAAGACACTGTCTCTAAAAATAAATTAAAAAGATACAATGTATCAAAACTTATATACACAAACACAGACCATACTTGATGCCATTTGCAATTCAGAGAAATGTAAACAAAGATGCATTATTAAAAAACTGCATAAAATTAACTGTAGTACATACTCTACTTCTGTAATAATTTTGTTCCCTCCTCCTGTTGTTAGTGGGGTGAGCTGAAGCGTTAATGAGTATCCTCCCTAAAATACAATGTGATGCTAACCATCTCCATGTGAGTAGTTCACCTCTCTAGCAGATTGAATATTGCAGTAAATTGCATATCATGGTTCTCCCATATTTTCATAATGTTTAGTGCAACACCATGAACCCTGACTAACACCGTGGGACCCATACAAAGTGCCACTAGTGATGCTGGAAGTGCTCCCAAGAAGCAGAGAGAAGTCATGACATTACAAGAAAAAGCTGAGTTGCTTGATATGTACCGTAGATCAGGGTCTGCACCTGTAACTACCCAACATTTCAGATGATTCATCTTGTAAACAGAAAATTTATAGTATCAATAAATACAGTACAGTACTACAAATGTATTTTCTCTCATGATTTTTTTTTTTCTGAGACAGTCTCCCTCTGTCGCCCAGGCTGGAGTGCAGTGGCGTGCTCGGCTCACTGCAACCTCCCCCTCCTGGGTTCAGAGAGTGTGCTCCCCTCCTGGGGAGGGAGAGAGAGAGAGAGGGGAGGGAGAGAGAGGGAGGGAGGGAGAGAGAGGGAGGGAGGGAGGG